GGGGGGGGGGGAGGGGGGGGGGGGGGGGGGGGGGGGAGGAGAGACCCCTGACTCTCGGTCTGACATCGCTGCAGCAAGAGCCTGTAGCGAACGCTGGCTCCAGCTGGTGTCTGTCAAGGGAGGTGGTGGGAAGGAGCACCAGTGTTTATTGTGAGGAGGTAGAACATCTTTTATCACTGTTTATTGACCATTCCTGACACTTCGGATGACCAGTGTGTACTTCATCAACTTGTTGGATGGATTTTAACGCTAAAAAAAATCACTCATCGAGCATTGAAGAACTGCCATCTGCCTGAAGTATTCTGTGAAGACTTAAAGTTGGTAATAAATTTTGCCAAACATTTTCAACCCTCATAAAACAGTGAGCTGGACAGACTTGCAGGAAATGAAAAGGCAATGAATGCTTAACCCCCTACCACCATCAAAAAATGTTTTCTGGGGGACTAGCCTAGCATGTGCCAGAGCCTGGGTTCCATCTCCAGCACGGCAGAGATACAAAAGGGGAAGATTTGCCATCTGGGTTTCCTCCTGCTAACTCACCGCCCGTGCTAAGAATGGCTAACGTTTATTGGAAGAGTCCTCCTCACCAGGCGCCAGCCAGCCCTCCCCGCGGACGCGGTTAGCACCCACAGACACACACGGTGAGCTCTGTGGTTCTCCCCACTGCAGTCACCATTAGAAAACACAATTCAAAATCTGCATTCTGCTGTTTTTAGGCACATAAAACTCTGCACCTCTCACAAAAAGCTTCAACCATTTGTATTTTGTCACCACAAAGCTGATTCAACCACATTTTAAATGCTCACTACCCACCCCGCCTCCAGCTTTCTGAATAAGTTAAATTTAAACAAGCAGGCTTCTCCTCTTGCTAAACACATCAACAAAAGATGAGCTATCTAACTGGCAACTGGTTATTCCATTACTACTATGGCAAAGACTGTAGCTCGGAACTACTGTGATTTCTCTAAAATATTATTTTGTTTTCAATACTTGTCTCTATATCTTTTAATTTTGAGGAATGTGATGTTGGAATTTAATGTGGAAAGAGCTTATCCATTACAGTTCAGCATTCACTTTGGAAATTTTGTAAAAGAACAATTGTTAAAGCATTAGAATCATAGTAAGTTTGAGAAGCCATACTTTCCATTTGCTCTTATTTTGAAACAGAATTATAACAGTAATTTAAATAATCAAGGCATAAAAAGCTCACCTGGTTTCACACCAGCCTAGTAAAAAAAGTTTTACCCTTCCAGTTCAGCACATAATTTCATACACCTGCCATTCTGTCCTGTATATCCTTAAACCTCCTGAATAAAAATATAACTGACACAAGATATTAATAAAAGTTTGTTTTATCTCCATCCAGCAATATCTAGTTGCCACCTGATATCTTCTGTCAACATTAATTGAATAATAAATATTTTATATGCTTTTAACTTTCTCAAAATGCTTTCATAGAGCTGAAGGTATAGCTCAGCAACAAAGCACATACTAAGCATGCACATGATCATAAATTTGATACACAATTCCAAAAAATGTTTTTATATCCACTATCTTGTTTCGTTATTATAGTCATTCAATGAAGTGTTGCTTTTTTCAGAAATCCAGGACACAAGATGTGCTGTATTGTGGCCAACAGGTATTTACACTTTTTTTTCCCAAGGACCAAATAGTGAATGAGAGTCTTCAGTCCAAACAGATTCTGTTCAACCACTCAACTCTGCCATTGAGTGGAAGGGCAGCCACCAACCAGACACAAATAGATGCACATGTCAGTGTTCCAATAAAACTTTATTTGTAGACACTGAAATCTGATGTCATTCAAACAAGCACAGACAAGATGCAAATGAATGAGAATGTTGTTGTAACAATAAAACTTTATCTATGGACCCTGAAATTTGGTTACTGTTTCCATGAATCACAAAATATTATTTTTGCTTTTGATTTTTTTCAATCATTGAGAAATGTAAACGCCACTCTTAGCTCATGGACTGCCACCTCTGGACCATTGTTTGGCAACCCCTGGTCTTGAACATAATAGACTCGTGAATTAGAAAGGACCATGAAAGGGCTCTGATTTAATTTCCTCTGTTTTCATAGGTGAGGAATCTGATGGCTCCAAAAGCTAGGCAGTTTGCAGTGGCCTGGTAGGACCAGTACCCAGAGCTTCTAAGTTCAGTGTACTTTCCACCCAAAGGCTCGGCTTAAAACAAAAGCAAAGAGACCAATTAAAGAGATAACTGTAAAAACTGCTCAGCATTACACCCAAAGACTAGAACAGCCCATGCTGGCTGCTCAGCCTGTTGCTCCTTAAGTAGACAGCTTCTGGCAGGCTTTCAGAGGACTTGAGAAATGATAACTGGTTAGGCAGAAATCGTTCCAAGAAATAGCACAGTGACTTTTGCTCTGCTACTTCCTTGCACTACTATAATTTAACTCCTCTTCTGCCAGAGTCCTACAGTCTGTAAAATAAGGAAGCCACTACTCGCCATTTTCACATTTTTAGTAGTTTCACTTTTCATAGTACCCTGGTTGTCCATAAATAGAATGCAGCCTTCTTTGGGTGGAGTTTCCAGGTAAGCACTAGCTGAGGGTCTGGCTGCAAAATGACCACGCAAAATAGCTTCACCCTCTCCCTCCCTTCAGTTTGCTTGATGTCCATGTTTTCCCTGCCTCTTGTTCAGCTGTTTTCTACTATTTCAGTAGGAACAAAACCTCTACAGTGAGAGGTGGCCAGGCAGCTGCCCAGAAGCCACAGTCAAGAACAGAAAGGGGAGCCCAGCCCTTCCCTGTGTCAGACACTGAGAGCTGGAGTAGAGACCACAGCTGCACACACGATGTGTGTGTGTGTGTGTGTGTGTGTGCAAAAGGAGACAGGGATCAACTCTTCTGGGAAAAGGAGCAGAACAAGCTAGACCTGGGCACAGTGGAGGATGAGCTACGTGGCCCTGAATTTCGCCGTGCCACGTGGGCAGAGCAAAGAACAATCTGCATATTCTCTGCTATTTTCTGAGCTGCTTCCTCCACTGGCCTCTGCCTGGGTTCCTGCCTGTGGCCGCCTCTGTCGCCCAGGGATGACTGCCCTGAGTCATCAGCTGATTCTGAGAGAGTCACCTCTGCAGCTCCCATCCCAGCCCCTCCTTTGAGCTCCTGCTGTCCCCGCTCCCTGGCAGAGCATGCCAGCAGGGTGGCCGGCAGGCATAGACCCAGGGGTGGACACCTGTTGGCCTCCCCTCCCACCCAGGGGGTCCTGACACCAGGGACCGCGTGTCCTTGGCCCGGCCCTGGGTGCCAGGCCCTAGCAAACTGCCTGGCGCAGTGCAGGAGAAACTCTACTAAAGGTCACCAAGAAAATGTGCCTGGTTCCCGAGAGTGAGCCTGGTCCTGTTTTCATTAATGAAGACTTTATGTCCATTCCATAAAGGCTTGTGGCTCACTTTGACCTCTGGGGACAGAAACAGCAAAGGCTGTGGGACCCTACAGCAAAGGAGCCTGACCTGCTGGTGGGGGCCCGCACTCAACCCAGTGAATGTGCTCAGCCAGCCATGGGCGGGCCCTCTGAGTGCTGCAGACTTCCCCGAAGTGTGTCAGTAGGGAATACTACTGCCCCGCCAAATTCATCTGTGTGACCTGCCAGGGAGCTTTCCAGAGGGTCCAGGGAAGGGAAGTAGGAGCAAACTAGAAAAATGCAAGAATCATGTCGAGATGCCCTCTCTCTTCTTCAGTCTCTTCACCTCTACAATAGGCTGTGTTTCCATCTTTCTCCTACCTCCCCTAACTTGAAATATATCTGCTGGCACATATGGTACTGTGATTTGGTCCCGGCATTCTCTCACATTCCCACTTTCAATATGTATTCAGCATCTACTATACGGCAGGAACTGAACTGAGTTATACAGAAAAAAGAAAAAGGAGAAACAGAATCTCTGCCCCTGGAAAACATGTGGTAGACAAATTTTACTAAGCATCTAAATGTCAGACATAAGGAAGTGGATTAATTAGACCCATGATTCAATGAAAAAGATAAGTGAATATGCAAATAACTGTACCGTTTGTACGTGGCACAGCATGGTCAGGGAAAATGGGTTTTAGGCACAGAACTTTGCTTTGTGTGGAGGTCAGGGAAGCTGCTCTGAGTGTTTCCCTGGGCCTTGAAGGATGACTAGGAAGGATTGAAAGGAAGGGAAAATATGGGAGAAGGAATCTAAAACACTATGATTTGGAGATCAAGTACGGTCAGCCTTAGGTATCCATGGTGGCCTGGTTCCTGGATGCCCCCATAACAAAATCCTCAAATGCTTTGTGCAAAATTTGCATATAATCTCCATGCACCCTCCTGTGTGCCTTACATTACCTCTAGTTCGACGGGGTATAGCTCTTGGTAGACTGCTTGCCTAGCATGCACAAGGCCCTAGTTCAACCCCGAGCACTGCCCAATAAATGAATAAACTCTAGATTAATATAATACCTATTCCAGTGTAAATGCTATGCAATTGTTCTGCTGTATCATTTAGTGGGTAACGACCCAAAACTCTAGGCGCATTCTGTACAGAAGCAATCTTCTTTTCTTGGCTACTGTATTTTCCATCCACAGCTCGTTGAATGCGCACAGCAGAACCAGCAAACATAGAGGGCTGACCACACACATGGGCTGAGGGCTAAGCTGTCAGGAAAGAAGGCAAGGAGATGCCACACTAACATGAGATTGGTGTTGTAGCCCGTGCACAATGGAGACCTGTGGGGGCTCTCTAGCCACAAAGTGTAACCAGGTGCTTGGGAAAGAAGGGCAGGAAAGCAGAGTGAGCAAAGAGTTGAGCTAAACTGTTACTGTCTGTGCTCTGACTCCCGGTCAACCGCCCCCCCCACCGCAGCACTGTGGGAGGAGTCAGTCTGCTTGGAGCAAGAGAAGGCTGGGAGGCAAAATGAGAGCACATAGAGGGAGCAGGCGACTGTTTCCGGTGGGCACAGGAGCTCTCCCCCTGTCTGTGTCTTACAGAAGTGCTCATCACAGGGTCTTGCAGAAGCAGGAGGTGCGCTCCCTGAGAGGACCCCACACACGTCCGGTAGGACGCGCATCCTCAGGAGTGAAGAGCCTCGGCACCGTGGAGACAGGTAAAGCGCTGCCCACCTGTTGGTCTTTGGGGTGGGGGCTACTGTCTCAGCACAATCTGAATACCTGTCGTAACCCTTGGCAACTTTCGAAACGCCTTCTCACATTCTCTCACCAGGAGCTGCTTTCAGCAGATGTGGATAGGGAGGTCTTGTTGGTGACACCGTGGGCTGCACTGGAAAGAAGCACCAGGCTCAAATTTACCTAAGGCAAAATGACGCCACAGCAGCTCAAGAAAGGATCATTCGTGGCTGACAGGTGTGTGTGGCTCTTGCAACTCAGAAGTTTAGTGACTTTTTAGCCCCAAAGCATTCCTTCTTATGTGTCCATCAAATCAAAATTTAAAAGCAAGTGAATTCTGCCATTCTCACCAAATACATACACAGGTTGTATCTATTAGGATAATAGTGATTTATATTTTGCATTTAGTCCTAAATTTAGTATGTGTGCTGCTGAAGCAAGCACATTTAGTCCTAAATTTAAATTGAAAAAAAAATTTCATTGTTACATGCAATGTAGGTTCTACAATGCAATACAACAAAAGTTGTGTTAAATTAATAAATGGAATAATGCCAAATCCAGTATCATAGGCTTTCATCCAAAAGCCAATCACTGGAAAGTACCTTGGTCAGAAGATTATAATGTAACTGAAACTCTATCATACATTATAAAGGCTATAAATTATTGATACGATTTAATTTTAAAGGTTGGCCAAATGCATTTCAAAAGTGAAGCAATCTGATAGCATCAATATGAGTGATATAAAATCAAGTTGGTAAAACAACAAGGTAGGGAATAACTTGGTCTCAGCACAGGGCATGCTACTACTTAGTTGGTAATTGGTCTTCCGGGTTTTTAGGTTGTTTTGCTCTGTATCTAATAAATAAATAGCCAAAACAACTGTGTTGTAAGAGACATTTTCTAGATTAATCACTGGATTGATTTACTGGCGGGGAGGAAAAATTGGTAGTAATTCCAACAGGTGTAGCTATGTCCCACTATTTCTGGTACCAGTCCTTTTTCCTCAAGAAGTACACTGCCACTTTGTCATAAATACTCCACTACAGTGACGACTCAGTATAATGCATTGGGTTGGTCTGAAATTTAGTCATGAAATTATAACCAGTGTCTCATAGGATGGCCTAATTGTGGATATTTTCTCAATTTTTGACACACAACGTCTTTTTATGAAAGTCATAACTATTCACACATCTACCCAAAATCTAAGTGTATACCTTCATGCCCCCTTTATTCTCATTTTTTAACTTTCCTACTTTCAAAACAGTACGCAGGCTCATTCAACAGTGGCCCATCATTATATTAGTTTGCAGTTGAGTCTGGATGACTAGAACATATTTTAGCCACTTACAGTTCCTCTGTGACTTTTCTGTATGTATCCTTTGTTCAGGTCTTTTGGTTGGATTTTCATTTTATTATTCTTTCTGCTTTGTGTTTTTGAGGACTGGTAAGTTTTCTGTACAGTGTACTTGTACTCCACAGCTATTCCTTCACTGGGCCAGCTTGTGCTGTGGACCACGGTGTGTGGGGCACAGTTATCCAAGCCCTGGGAAGAATGGAAGAAGTGGTCCTTCCTCTTGCAGAGCTGCATTCTGTGTAGCACGTGAGGTGCCTGACTCTGTCAAGCCAGCAGTGCCACGCTGATGTGGGGCCTGTCACAGGACAGCATAGTGCAATGAACTCTTGAGCCTTATAGAGCTTAGCTGCATTCCAGGGCACTACAATGGATGAGCTTGACACACCCCAAAGACACACACACACACACACACACGCACACACCCCTAAGACACACACATGTTCTTTCCCTTTGTGTGGCCAAGCTAGCCTGCTACCCCCTCCCAAAATCTTGCATATCTATCACTGACCTGCAACCACACCTCTCAAAGATCTTACACAAATCTCTAACACACCTTCCTCTGCCAAAGCAAACCCCCAAGCAAGGCAGCCCTCAAAAATGTAAGCCTCAGAATTAGTCAGAGCAGGAGAGAATTCAGGCTTTAATATTTTGGCATAAACAAACCAGCAAATCACAAACTGGTTGTCTTCCAAGATAGCTGGGGTGCAGATCCTGACCATAATAGGGCTCTGGGGCCAGTCACACCCAAGCCCCCCAGACTCTGAGCCTTCCTACTCACACTGAGCATGCCCGACTCCTGGCAAGGGTCGCTCTCACACAAGATCTGAGATGCTTCTCACTCCAGAGTCCCTGAGCTCACCTCAGACAAAGCCAAGTGTGTCTGTGTGTGTGTGTGTGTGTGTGTTCCTCTTTAACTCTGCTTCCTCCATCAATGGCAGTCTCCTACCAAGCTCTTACTAGCCCCTCCCTGCCGCTCACATGGCCTGTCCTGCCTCCACTGGGTGCTTCTGTGACACTGGTCATCTGCCTCTCTTACCCTTGCTGCCTGCACCCAGTCCTCACAGTCAGCCTGTCTCCCCGGGCTTCTTCCCCCAGGTGCTCCTTTCCCTCCTTGCCCCGTGCACTGGGGCCAGCTCCCCTACTCTTCATGACACAGACCACCTCCCACCTCTTTCTTTGGCCTTCTTGGTCTGCTTAGCAAATGCTCTTCCTCTTGCTGCCTTTTCTCCTCCCCCTGTCCCTGGTGATGGTGAGTATGCTTAGCCTTCTCTGTGAGTCCCAGCACTCCTTTGGGCTATCACCTGAGCCTCTTCCCTGTCATCCATGTGAATACACTAAAGGATAAAGTGTAGTCCTACCCAGCTTGGTTACAAGCAGACCTCACCCAAGTCTAACTCAACACCCTCTTCCCCATCTAATTTTGCCCTTTTCAAGGGCTTCTCTCCCTGGGGCCACCTTTGCCAGCTAATAATCTCCAAATGCCTAGTTGAACCAGAGCTTTCAACTTCTCGATCCCTTCATGTCTTTAGCCCTTTAACCTTCTCCTGGCTACATTGCCTTTCTCACTCTCTGGAACCTGTTCTGCAAGCTGCCCTGTTCAGAACCCTGTGCTCCTCCTACCACCACTGTACTTAACCAGCACAGACAGATCCAGATCCATTACTTATGGACAGCAGCCACTGTGGCTCACTTTGATTTGCCAGTGCCATGCCAAGCTTTCATCCTACAAATGTCTGTTGCTACCTCCACTCACCTCCACTCCCTATCCTACCTATGCTTTCTCAGAGAACCTTCCCTAAGTGGCTCAGCCAGATAAACTCTATCTTCTGGCCACAAGAGTTTGGACTTGGGCTGAGCACCTGCCGAGGAAGCCCTTGTAGGGCCCACCTTGCGGGAAAGTGTTGGATACCATGTCGGAGTCTGTTAGGGGCCACGTTGGAGAGTATCATACAACTATGTCACGCCAGAGTCTCCTGGGCACCATAGCAACCCAAGCCGGAGTGATGGGAGAGCAGCCTTGCAAGGGCTCAGTCTGCCAAGCAGGAGGAAGCAGCAGACATGCCCAGGAGACGACAGCACAATGGTCAGAGCACGAAGAGGCACCAGACAGTGTCCTGGTTCCCATGATGTCAGCCTCCGCTTCCTTCCACTGGGCTCTCTGAGAGTCCCCTGATGCCACACAACAAGCCCCACTTTACCTAAGCTAGGCAGGTCTTTGTTTCCTTCCACCAAGCCATCCTTGACTAAGACACCTTTCAACACAGCTGCCGGATCGTCCCCACCGCCCACTTTCTCATGCCTTTCTTCTACAGGAATCTGTTTGCCCATCTCTATTGATACAGTCACACAGCACACAGAGCCTTATTTTTCCCTTGAACAAATGCTGCCTGGCTTCATCCCAAAGAGAGCAAGTGGCAACCCCATGACTTAATCACACAACAGGTGAGCCGGTTCGTGCCAACGTTTACACCAACTCTCTCAGACCTGCCGGGATTCTCTGCCTGCTCAAGTTTCCCAGCAACAGTCCTGACCAGTGGGATGAAGCGTGGAATATACAGAAATTTGTGGCGCCTGTGGCCCAAAGGCAGCAGGAAACGTTCCGGCTGCAAGGACAGGGCCGTGTGTGGGAAGAAAGGTCAGAGGGCACCGTGGGTTCAAGTGAACATTCTTCATCTCGAATCACTTAGAACTTCAGCCATGAGATTAGTGGTTTCCCTGGCAACCGATAAGCCAGTAACTGTTTAAAAACTCCTCGGTACAAGGGTAGCTACCCTCTAGCACACCCGCCCTGCCACAGATCAACATTTCTCCCTTTTGCTTTGCTCAAGGGTGAACTTTTCCCTACTCAGCTCATGACTTTGTCTAGAAGGATTGCTCCTACAGAATCTCCTCTTTTTCTTTTTCTCCTTTTTGAGGATGTTCTGATATTCTACACTGTTCTATTCTACCAACAGACAGGAAGTCCCTAACACCATTCAGGACTTTTTCTGTCCACGGTTGCAATTTGGGGATGTAGAAAAGGATTGCTTCGTCTAGCTTATTTGCTTTTTCTCATTGCCTTTTCCTCTCCCTGCCCCACCCACAATCTTTTCCTTCCCCTCACTGCTTTTCAAATAAAATGCCACGAGTCATGCAGCTGGCGGACTGAATTCATTCTTTTGGGAGCACTGAAAGCCACACGCACTGGCAAGCACTGGGCTCTAACAAATGGCAGGTACTAACTTCTCTCTGGACAACAGGCACGGCTTTGGGAATCACGAATCCTGCCACACAGTGACGTCCCTGCCTGTGATCCCAACATTCAGTCCCTTAAGACTGGCACTCCACATTACAAAGAGCAAAAACAGCTTCTTTTTCTTTGTTTCATTTTTTAATTTTGAATTTTAACTGGTACGTTAAGACACAAAAAGTATACATATTTATAAGGTACCATGTGATGTTTGAGCACACCAGATGCACTGTGAAATAGTTAAATTGGGTGAAAAATCCCTATCTCCTAAACATTATTAATTTCGTTAGTGTGAGAACATTCAAACTCTTGCTTTCGAGCTTTTTGGAATACACAGTAGATCATTGTTGTCTGTAGTCACCCAACTATGCAAAAGAACACTAGAACTTCTTGCTCCTAACTGAAACTCAGTAGCCATCCATCAGCCTGTTACACTTTAATTCTTTTATTGATTCACAGAAGTGGTACTGATTATAACTATAGGCATAAATTCTATGGCCTTATCTATATTCACATTATCTATGTAATATGGATAAGAAATAAAATCACAATGATGGGAAACTGTTGTGTTGTTTCATATTGTCTTATTCCATTTTGTGAAACTAAAATTAAAGTATCTGAGAGTAGGGAATTTACAGTGAGTGGAAATGCGTTGGCTTGTGGTAGTGGAGGCTGGAAGCCCGAGATCAAGGGGCCAGTGTCTGGAGAAAGCCTCCGTGTTTGTGGCAGAAGAGCAAAGGGAGAAGGGGAGGGAGGAGAGACTGCCCCTTCATAAGGAACTCCATGATAATGGCATTACTCCATATCCGCAACAGTGGTGACCCCATAATCCAAATAGCTCCATTAACCCTCACCTCCTAACATGCTTTCTTCGGGGGCCAAGTTTCTAACACGTGAACTCTGAGGGACACACTCTAACCATAGTGCCCGTCACACTTCATATTTGGTTTTTTGTGGTGCCCGGTTATTGAACCCAGAGCCTTGTACCTGCTAGCCAAGCACTCTACCACTGAGTGACATCCCCATCCCTTTCTTAAAACTGTATTTTGAAACAGGATCTTGCTAATTTGCCCAGGCTGGCCTCGAACTTGTGATCCTCCTATCTCAGCCTCCCAAGTAGCCAGGATTGCAGGGATGTACCACTCATGACAGCTAGCAGAAAACTTGGCTTTAACATGATCACAACCAGGGACTGGCACCATGCAAGGAAGATAAAAGATTGAGTGGCATGATAGACCCACTTGGCCTAGATGACCCATCACCCAGGTGCCATCTTGCTTCTTAACTTACTGTTAGTAGCCATGACTTTCACTACACTTCATTTTCCTGGTTTTGAAATCAGTAGGGTATATTTTTCATTTTACATGCCATCTATGCTTTCTTCTATATATTTAGGATTATTTTTGTCAGTTTTGATTAATAGTTAATAGTTTTAAGTGTTCACTTAATAGTTTAAAGTGTTCAGTAACAAGATATAGCTATTAAATATCTTTATTACCGAAATGCTTGTAAGAAAAATAATATAATTATGGTGAGTATGTTAGCTTTCCATCACTAAACAAATAATTGAGATAAACAACTTATAAGGAGAAATTTCATTTTCATCCATTTTGCAGAATCCAGTCCGTGACCCACTGACCCTATCCAAGGCTTTGGCCCTGCAGTGGGACAGCACATCATGGCCCGTGCACATGGCGTAGCGAAGCTGCTCACCTCATGGCCAGGAAGTGGAGAAGAGAGGAAGAGACTGGGGACACGCTATCCCCTTCACAGATAAGCCCCCAAAGACCTGCAGGCCTCCCACTAGGTGTCACCTCTGAAAGTTCCCACCATCGCCCAACAGCGTCAAGCAGAGGCCAGGTCTTTAACACATGGATGGGCCTTTGCAGTCCTTTCAGTTACATGTACATATCTCACTTTCTTTTTAAACCATCAAAGTCATGGTTAATTTAGTTGTTAATACCCCACATGTCTTAACAGTGCATCTATGATCTTATTATCAAACCAGTTCATGACTGTATCTATTAACCAGTGTGGTATCTTCTGGTTAAGCAAGCGGTTGCTCCAGCCTACTTGCCAAAGACTGAGTGAGAAGTCAGGATAGCTGACAATCTGTCAGGGCACCAGTGCTGGGTGAAATTGCCCCTGCAGACAGTGTTCCTTTTGTTCTCATTCTCTGCCCATCAAGCCAGCACCTGCCCTTCTCTTTGGAACAGTGCGCCAAGACCAGCCTGCTCTGAGGGAGGTCCCTGAGGAAGTGATTGGCCCTGATTTCCAAGCCATTGTCCTCCCATGGAAAACAATTACTACCACTTACACAGAAAGGTGCTCCCGCTGTAGGTAACTGAAATATCTGATTTGGGAAGGGTGCACACCAGGACTGGATCTGGGATGGTGATGGGTGGCGAGGGCAGATGAGGAAGAAGGCTGTCACAATAAGCTAGAGGTGACGGTAGCTCAGAGCAGCACAGCAGAGGCAGAGGAAAGCAGGCTCGCTGACTGAATTCTGAGTGGTTGGGTTGCAAGTCATTGAGATTTTCCTATAGACTAGATGGAAATCTTATTTGGGGTCAAGCACACCTCTCCCTCACATGCTTCTGACTAGAGGTTTGCAGGCCTCATCTAAGGGGCTGTGGCTGGTTTATTGTATCTGTCCGGATAGTTAGGCTGTATATGTAGCAAACAACCCCATCATCTCTGTGGATTACAGAGCAGGCTTATCTGTCCCTCCTCCCCCTTCATCCCCTTCGTCTCATTCCCAACACAGCCCAGTTTATTGCACTACTCAGGAGCTCACAAGGATAGGGGCCAATCCCAGCACCTTCCACAATCACCACTGTGGAAGAGAGGAAACAAACTTGGTGAACCACAGCACATCTGCTCACATTTACTAGGCAAAGCAACACCTAACTCCTTATCACTGCATTTGGTGCATGAGTCAGCCCCTAGATAATATTTAATGGATGGAAGCCAGTTTCAGGTTGTATGAATTTGACGGCTCCACTCAGGAAATGCTCTCAGGAAGGTTGTGCCTATTCAGTTCCTCCACCGTTCATCCCGTGTGTGTAAACAGGTCTGCATCTACACGTCCAAGATGCGCATTCACACACAGGTGTACCGTGTCGTAGAGGCCAGAGAAGACGACATCAAAATGTCTTTGGGCCCTGCACGTACCCTATAGGAGTATTTCTGGACAAACGCTTCACAGGGGCAGAGTAGAGCAAAGGGAAACATGGGCTTTGGAATCAGTTAGACTTGCCCATTACTGATTCTGCGATGAAGCCATATCAACTGTTCTCCCTCTCAGCCTTAGCACCCTCACCTGTAAAATACACACAATGTAGACCATATCCCTATGTAAAAGGAAGGACCCAGACACCTTACAGGTGGTCCACAAGTGGCAGTTGATGTTTATTTTCACCTCTTTAGCTAAAAAACATATATTTTGAATATCTAGCTAGAAATGGCATGTATAAACATTCCTACTACTCAAAATTTCTTGTGAAACCAACACTGATTAATAAATATCTTCCCATCATTTTGTTAAAATGTGTAATAGCATTCAAGGAATCCTTCTGTAATTTTCACAACGCTGAGACAGTTCTGGCTGCTTTGGGGCCAAAGGAATGAGTTCTGGTGAAATATTATGAACAGAGGTAAATTTTTGGAATCATGAACAGTTTGACTCTGGTTGCTATGTGTGTTATACACTGAAACATTTTATTCACTGGGAATGGAGTGAAGATTTTAACAGAACTTAAAATCATCCAGCAGTGTGCTGATGTGCTATTCTAAATTGCGTATGATGTTAAAAGATCACACAACCTGTTGTACTAGCCACTAATATCTCCACTTAATTTCAACCAGTCTTTAAGCGTTAACCTCCATTCTGTGGTGCAAGACACCCCTTCCATTCCTGGTCACCTCCTTCCCCCCAAAATTTGGTAAGCAAATATTTCAACTGCCCATTCCAAATCAAATCGGTCTGTGCTGTGGTGGGGGGTGAGGTAGGTGATAAGTTCATCGCTCACGGTTCCACAAGTCCACCCTTATATTGTACCACCATCCAAATGGGTCCTTCATCTGATGAAGATGCCTATGGAGTTGCTCAGAGCCTCTAACAGTGTTTGCTTCAGTTCCTGGTTATGCAAATCTAACTCCCGAATGAGCAGTCTCCTACCCTGTGGGTACCCACCTGGAGCCAGGAGCCAATGGGCCGTACAATCCACCTGCCCTCTGTGGCCACCCTGGATTGTCTCAGTAGGTGGCTCTCAGCTAATTTTAGCCTCTGATGTTTTTCTCAACAAACAGAACATGTATTAGTCACATTTCGAGTTCATGTGAGATTGCACATTACACCTCGCATAATATGTAGCTGAAACAAATTCAAACTTCCTCTGACCATAACACTTGTGGGGACAAATTTTATGCGAGCACATGGAAACTGTGAATACACATCAGTGACCTCCAAACGACACCTTCTAAGCTGGGCCAGACAGAAAAGTGACAAGTTTGTTTAGCCTCTCCAATCTATTTATTTATTTATTCATCTATTGGCTGAATCAAGCCATTCTTTCCCTATGAATTTTTGATAATAGACGCTAACACTGTCTGTTGGTTTCTAGTAAAATTTTCTTTGAGTGGAAATTTAGCAAATGTGTTACAGGGCCCTGTTCGTTCTGCACTCTTGTTGGCCTTCTAGAAGGGTACCAAAGAGCAAAGGCACTGCCCTAACTTAGCAAAGTGGCTGCCTGTGTCCCTGTGCCAGATTAAATCTGTACAAGGTGCGGAAAAGGGTTCTTAGGTTGGTGGCTCTCATAAAAATTGGAGGGAAATATCTGGGCTCCCTGGGCTGGACCAGGATGGGGAGGTCCCCTCGGCCAAGGTGAGGCCCAGTGTCTCTGCCACAGGCTTCTTCTTCTCTCCAGTCCACCAGTCCAGGCTGTATCCGTACAAACGGTCCATGTAACCTGGGCCGGTCACCACGCGCTATCTGAAAGTCCACACTGGGACTTCAGTGGTGGCGTGAACAATGAAATGTCCTGCTTACTGCCCCCTACCCCACAGACTGCCACATGGTGAAAACAGGGAAGGAAATATTTCTGAGATTTAGTAGGAGTCCATCATGAAGAAAGATGCATCTGCCTTTCTTTCTCTTCTGTTTGTTATTTGTTTTTGTTTTATCAATGGACAGAAGCTGGTTAACCCATTGAGCACAGCATGTCTCCTTCCTGGTCAACGAATGTGAAATAGACTAAACAGCAGGGGCCTTCTTAGCCAAAATGGCTACAAATGTAGAGAAGATCTACTTTCTTGATGGTCAAAGATACAGAATTGCAGGACTGGGCCTCAAGACTCCTCCCTTTGGAATCTGCCTGTCCCACCGCCAAAAAGCTCAGCCTTTGAAAGCCTAAAGCTCAAGTGAGCATCCTTCCACCCCTCTCCCTCCCCTGCCGTGGCACACTCCAAGCAAGTGTTAGCAGGCAGACCTTTCCCTGTCCTTTGTCTGCAAGGGACTTAGGTGATGAATCTGGTCCCCTCGCTCTCCAACTGGTGGCCCATAATTGAGGGGGGACAACAAATAGGAAGGAAGGAAAGAAGGGAGGGAGGGAGGGAGGGAGAAGGGAAGGAGGCAGGGAGGG